AAATTAATAAACAACATATTTGAAGACATCAAATTCACGAGAGAAGAAGAATTAGATAACAAAATCCCATTTTTAGATGTCTTAATCAGGAGAACCAACACAGGAGATTTAGAGACACAAGTTTATAGAAAATCAACGCACACAGATCAAATACTCAACTATACTAGCAACAATCCGGTTACTCACAAACGAAACTGTGTGCAGACATTGTTTAAAAGAGCTCAGACACATTGTAGCACTCCAGAGCTGAAAAGAATGGAAGAAAAGTACCTACAAAAGGTCTTCAAAAAGAATGGTTATCCACAAAATTTCATCAAAAAGTGTTTAAAGTCGAATCAAAACACCAACAAGAAACCATCATCAAAGACCACAAGAAAATTCATTCTACCATACATGAGGAATATCTCTGAAATAGCAGCCAGAATACTGAAACCGTTGGATATAAATATAGCACACAAACCAGTAAAATCGCTTAATTCGATATTATGCAAACCAAAAGATCCAACAGAAAAAGGGGATAAAATTAATACCATCTACAAAATAAATTGTATGAACTGTAACAAGCATTACATCGGTCAAAGTGGGCGTCCCCTGCGAATCAGAATCCAAGAACATAAATCAGCCGTAAAAAGACATGATATGTATTCGTTAGTATCAATGCATGCAGACAACTATGGTCATCAGTTTGATTGGGATCACGTCAAAATCTTAAACAGAGGAAACACGAAAAGTGCCAGAGAATTCCTAGAAGCCTGGTACTCAAGCGAAAATGCGATTAACAAACACGTTAATATAGATGAAATATACCAATTAATAAAAAGTAAATCAGGTGACCAAAAAGTTTAAAATCCTAGTCAATAGAAAGTGGTCAATACATATGTGAAGATAGTAACCAGGAGACGCAATTACATCACGCATGAAGAAATTTAAATCATTTCACTCTGTGCTAAATATGGCGCTGAAGATGTTGTCCGGAAGGACGACGAAAGCTTCGCGACTAAACCAACCAGCTCAGAGAACACTTTTAATTGCAAAAGGAAATACTACTAGTGAATGACTACTCAGCAGAATTTATTCAGAAATATATGAAGAATCATAGAAAAACCAAGTCTAGCAATAAAAGTGACGAAAATAACGAAAATAATGTAGAATTCAAAGCCTTCAGAAGAAAGTCCTCTGAAGAAGGGACGTCAGAGGCCTTACCTAGAATTCTCAATGACGCTGGAATTAGGGTGGCATTTAAGCCAACCAAACAACTCTCTCAGAGATAAACTTTGTCGACTTAAGTACCCAATAGATCCGATTAAGAAAAATAATATAATGACTATGAGGTTAATTACGTAGGTCAGACTAGTAGATCAGGGTCAACTGTGGATTATTGGAATATAAAAATTTAGCTAGACCTAAAATAATTGACTCTGCTAAGTTAAATAACCTAGAAAAAAGCTCAGCCATTGCACTGCACTGCATTCACTCTCATGTAATCACACACCATAGGGTGCGGGTATTAGAAAGTGATATAGTTAAGTGGAGAGACAGGTTAATCACTGAAGCTTTGTTTACGGTAATGATTCAGCACCGCACACATGCAATCGGAATGACTCAACACCTATGTCGGAGATATGGAAAGTGGCAACAAACAGCAAAGGAAAGTTGGAGAGACAGAAAGAGAGAAAAAATATATAGGACAAAATGTGAAAACGTGTGACTAAATTCATATTATTATGAATAATAATTTATGCTCGAAACCTTGTCATCTAACTGTTAATACTGCGTCGCTGTGTGATATTTAAGATAAACTTATCTAATATGGTGTTACATTCTACCACAGTGTCCAAGTTCTACACTTACATTAATTGACTTGTGTGTGTTCTTTAGTGTAAATGTATAACCTCTGTCTCTCAACTTAACTGTATTACTTTTCAATGCGTTTCTCCTAACCCCCCGCCCACTCTATCATGTGATGATGATTACATGTGAATCAATGCACTGCAATGGTGGATAAGGCATATGTTTTTTTTGTCTAGATTACTTATCTTACAACCGCGTCTATCATTCTAGCTGTAGCTAAAAATGCCTATTTCATATATGATAATCTAAATGACTACTAATTTAACCAATGTAATTGACTTCAAAATCATTACATGGCTGTTTTTCCTTTTTGGTAAGTTGTATTATTTCTCCTAATTAAATGTCTATCGGGTCCTTAAAAGTCAATAAAGTTTGTTTCTTAGAGTGTTGGTTGGTTGGTTTTTTAAATGTCACCCTCATTATCTAGCCTTATGAAGAATCCCATATATACATATGACAGTAGTATATTGAAGCTTTAAATTCTTAATTATTTATATTGTACATTTTCATTGTTTACATTACTACTCGGATTTTTCTGATAGGTCTCCATATATTTGGAAAAAATAGAATAAAACTTAGTGGGAATGCATTCATTCACTTACTTGTAACCACACAATAGAGAGTGGCATAGGGTTAAACGTATTAAAAAGTAATATATGTATAGATAGTTAGAAGTTAATCATCGAAGCTTTGTTCATCAAATCCACACCAAAAGCACGTACAATCGAAATGATACCCCCCACATATCCTGAATATATGGAAAATTACAGAGTAAGGCTGTATATCAGGCAAGTGAAGAAGTCGTATGAATAAATTGATGCAATTATGAGGCAACAAGGCATTTGACCACCGCAGGATGAACATACTACTATGTGATTTTGATGAGTTCTGCCATGTTAAAAGAAAGTCGGCAAAACAGGAAAAAGGTCATCAGGAGAAATACGCTCTGGGCCTTGTTATGCTGAGGGGACAGCATGTTGTAACCGTGCATGCGTGTAGATGGCTGTCCACCTCCTGAAGATGCTGCACATGTCCCACTCCCTACAGCTGGTGGTTGGTTGGCTAAAGTGACTGGTATTGTTGTTGGCCGTGGTATGTCTCTTGCAACACCTACCTCAGCTATCGCTCTCATCCTCCCTTCTGATTTAGGAGGCCAGTTTGGGGAGTTGGAGCACCAACATCAGATCTAGTGAGACAACGAAAGCTTCGCAAGTCAACCTGTCCAGCTCAGAGAACAAAACTACATAAAAATAATCCATCTGAACTGCAAATCTTCTCCCATTATACACTAGTCATTAATTGCCAGGTTCGAAATTTACTCCATTCACTAACTAGACAGTATTCCATTAATACCCAGAACATGAATATGACTCATATATGTGTATTCTCTTATTGAATCTTATTGTTCGTGGTACATGAGATAGAACTAAACTTGTCATATTTTATCCTATACTAATCCTTTTTGACCATCTGATCCCCATTATCGAACAAAGGCAGTTGTTGATGAAGACCTGCATGAGACTGTTGGATATGATTTTGTTCACGCGTGCACCAAGTCTCTGAACCCTTTACATACTTGGCATTAGTGTTAAAAATCCTGATCATGTTGGTGGTGCTGAGGTCAGTAAAGATATCCACACTAATCACAGGGTAATGAAAGCCAGTCTTGTTTTTCTGACCCTACCTTGATATCTTCATCTATGCCTGCTTTATTTAGAACAATACTGCGTAGATTTCCCCAGTTGATGACGGAATATACATTCTCTTTCTTTATTGTGCATTGAGCTTTGTAGTATGTCTTCATATTTCTCCATGTGTAGTTATTATCTCCTCTGCACACTTCAACTCATAGTAGTAGTTTGGTTGAATTTTTTTCTCTATCTTCGTGTGCTATACAGAGAGAGTTGCACTTGTCTGCGAAGTTACACGTGTTGAAAATCCAAGTATTCAGTCATCTGTCGAATGTGTATATTCATCCAATCTAGTCTTCAGGAGGCTTTGATTTTATCAACAATCGATGTACAGAAGACTGTAATTGTGAATGCTGGCGAACTACACGTATTATTCTCTACACGACCGATGGTGCTACCTCGACTGAAAGATGAAGTACCTAGACTAGCCACTTCAAATTGTATTTATCAATTCAACTGCGCTTGTGGAGCGAGTTATGTTGGCCGTTGTTCTAAGAACTTGATTTTTCGTGCTCGAAAACATATCCCACTATGGTTAAGTAAAGGTGTAGTTAAAACTATTAACAGCTCGATATTAGACCATCTGGTGCAAACCGGCCACAAAGCCAGCGTAGAAGAGTCCTTCTCTATAATATACCGGGTGTCTAACAAACTACCAAAATCGTCGAAGCACAGCATGCTCCAAACAGCAGAGGCTATTGCAATTCGCCTCAAACAACCAGTGCTCTGTATCCAAAAGAAACAAGTCCAACCCCTACTACTGCCCTGGCCTTCAGTAGAGACTATAAACTCATGAATTTGTACTATTACCCTTCATAATTCTACTAACATCCAGCTTATTTTATGTTGATGCTGTTCAGCTGTAATTTATCAATATTATTGATTTGATGTTATTTAAACATTAATGTCGTTCATAAGACTAATTCATTCATTATAATGTATATATAATTGTAGAACCTGATGATGAATTTATCGAAAAGAGTACTCTTTGTTCCGTGTCTATTCTTTTGAAAATTGTGAATTAGTTTATCCTTCAATTCTAGTAGAATAGTATGCTATATTTGAAAGACAGTGTACTGATGCACATAATTGTGTCCATTTCTCATACATACTGCATAAGATAAAATTCCACAATAGAATCATGTTAACTAATTTTGCAGAGCAATACAGTGTTATTTATTCACTAAGCTTGAAGTGTCATCTGTAAATAAGCATAATATAGTCCAACTAAAAAAACAACTGCAGAAAACATAGTGTGAAATGGAGTTGTACTGCTGCTGAATTCCTATATTCTGTCCAGAACCACCAGAGGAATAATAATCGCCCAATTGTTTTTTTTGCTCTTTCAAACAAAATTATATGTCAGAATCTTAATTATACACTTGTGTAATTATTATCGTCTCACTATAGTTTATTTAGCATACATTTCCTGTTATTTGTTTCTTTCTCTTTTTAAAGACTATTTATGTTAGTAAAATAACTGAAGGCGGAGCTGCTCAAAAACAAGGTCGGATTCAGATTGGAGACCAAATAATTAGTGTAAGATAGCCTTTTTTTGTGTTTATATGATGTGTGTATTGATACATGGATAGGTGAATTTTCCTCCTGTTCTCCATGGTTTACTGTGAATAAATATTGTTTCCCCTTAATTCAGTGTACAAACAACTGCGACCTACGCATTTTTATTACATTTATCTTATACTACTAATATGTAGAGAGTAGTTAATGTTTGTCTTTCGTAAATTTTACAAAAAACAAAATTGTATTTAAGTATGTGGTAACCTGTTCAGTTTTTGTAAACCCAACAATATATAATTAGTGCTAAACAGTCACAAAACCCAATCAGATAGTTATGGGTGATATCAGTCAACAAAATGATATCCACAGATTCAGTGTTTGAAAGTAAAATAATTACAATAAAAACCACAGCTTCCTGTCCAGAAATATGAGTTTTAGGTAACTAAGCAGAAGTAGTGTACTAATCGAAAAGCGCCTCAAGGTTGTTTGGGCCATCTGAATTTCGTCGATGATATATGTATGATTTCCCGCAAACTGCAAGATATGCAAGTGAAAAGCAACAAGTTGGCGATAAAAGAACAAGCATCCAGGGAAGATAGGAAGGACTTTAGGTGAACATAGAGAAAACAGAGGTGATGAAGACAACAATCTGCGTAAGTGAAAAGAATCTGAAAGAAGCAACCTCTTTTACCAACCTGGGAAGCATCGTTTCAACTACAGGCGGAACTGACAAGGATATCAAAGCGAGTATCGGGAACGCAAGGCAAGTTTTCATTATTCTCAAGTCTATGTGGAGGTCAACAGCACTCAGCATGAAAAATAAGATCCGAATTTTCAACTCCAATGTGAAGTCAGTGCTACTATACGGATCAGAGACTTGGCGTGTCATGAAGACCACTTCAAAAGAACTACATAACTTTATCAACAGCTGTCTTCGCTCAACACTACTCAAGATCAGATGGCCGGCCAGAAAAGATCAGCAACAAGGATGGATCTCTGGGAATGAACCAATCAGGAACCAAATGTGCAACAACTATGCAGGAAGAAATAGAGGTGGACTGGCCATACTCTGAGAAAACAAACCATCAAGTGAAATCTCACGACAGGTTCTCTCTCGAGTGGAAACCAAATGGGAAGTGGAGAGTTGGTCGTCATTGTGAGGGTGACATGGAGGAGGTGATTTGAAGAGGAGATGAAAGCTTGTGGGCAGACGTGGAGCCAGGTGAAAACGTTGGTGGAGAATCGGACACAATGGAGACGTGCGGCTGAAACCCTATGTTCCTCTAGGAATTAAAGGAAACAATAATAATAATAACATGTTTAGCTTTAAACTATTTTTCACTCACGTTCTTGGCAATTTGCATGTTAGCTTTTTCTTTACTGACTGAATTACGTTTTAAGCACATGTATTTATTCTGTGCTATACCAATGAAGTTTCATAATTTTTTCTACTCATAATAATATACACGCATTGACTTCATATTGCCGTAGGATCACAGAAGTTTTGAACCTTTGGTTTCAGTCCTAGAACTATTTTACTGGTATTCCAACCTAAATTCGAAGTTTGACGACTACAGGAGTTTTCCAAAGTAGAAAAATAACTCAGCAAACAATAATAAGATATAAAGCAGACATGAATTATCATCTCGCATTACAGATTTTAAAATAATTACTGTCAATATACAACAATAAAGGCAACCAGTCACGTTCAGGATAACTGATAAAGTTGTGAAGAATTCTTAAAGTTTACTTCATACTGAAGTATGCGCTAAGGATATTGTCTCGTAAAAGAAAATAATGAAAGCTTAGCAACTAAGCCGTCTGACTCAGAGAACGCAACTACACCAAGTGACATATATTTAACAATTTATCCCTATATTAAGTTCCAAGAAGTATATTGTTGATTATAGCTCACATTTTCAAATAGTTGCCATCATCTTTAAGTTGACTGATATAAAAGTAATAGGAGTCTGATCTGTGCTATTTCTTGTTTTACTCACTATTCGTTTAGATTTTTTGGACTATATATGTATGCTTATTTCTCATCTGTGTTATTTGAAAATTTCATTTAGATAAATGGCGTTGATGTTAGGAATGCTCGTCATGATGAAGCTATTTCACTATTAACTGGTTCTCAGTCTGTAGATGTTGAACTGCTTCGTTATACTACTAATACTAATACTACTACTACTGATGACAGTGGTACTTTCAATGGTCTCTCAAAAACATGTAAGCTTTTTTTTGTTATTATAAGTAACCCGATGATGGATTTTTTTTTAAAGAAACTGCTGGGAATTTGTTCGTTTAGTTGACGATAAATATATCGAGGTGACAGGGAGAAATAGTTAGGTGAGTGGTACATACAGTGTGTGTATTTGTACAGGCATACTGTCCGTCCAGAGAATAAAAGTATAATAAAGAGCCCGAATGTATGTCAGGGGTTCGACTCCCGGTCGGTCCACTCCTAAACCTCGTCCAGTTTACTAACCGCGATAGTAATCCTGTAAAGGAGAGGGTAAGTAGTTGTGAACATGAGGATGATAGCAACCCCACCCAATAAGAAATAGTACTTCTACTGAAACTTCAAGCATACAACTGGAACAGAAGGGATTGAAGAAAAACGGTCTGAGTTAGGTAGATGACATATTAATGAATTTCTAAATAATGTAGAGTTTTGTAATATGCAAATGCCGATGTATTCAAGATGGTAAGAATTATTACTCACAAAAAAAAACAGCGTTGGTTAACTGACGCAGTTTCAACTTGGAACATTGCACACAAGTGAAGCAGTTCAAGTTGCCACACTCCATGAAAAGATTGTAAAAGTAGAAAATTGAGAGAGAGAAAGAATAGTAACATGGATAAACGTGTTAGGGTTTCAATGAATATAGCAGACAACAAAGAGTGAATACATCTATCTCTCATTGAGAACGATTTTGAGCCTTATCACTAACTGTCTCCAGCCATTGGCTCTTAGCATCTACATCTCTCGACGTGGCTTAAACTAGCTGTTTGGTTTGACCACCATTAGCTCTCTTCCAACCTCATCGATCCTATGTCAGGAGCTAACATTGCCCGTCAAGGAAGGCGATGTCTAGGCATGCGTAACACACGTCCTAACCAGCTCAATCGATGTAGCTTTACAACCCTATCGATTGACCAACCCTCCTTGCCTAGCACTCGACCGATGCCTAACCTCAATATTACTCACCTCACGCCTAACACGAGAAATAGAACGCAGACACTTATGATCAAAGATAGCCGCCAGCCTTTGCATATATTCCACTTTCAATAGCCATGTCTCACAGCCAGCCATAAAGGGAAATGGAGCGAACTGGTGGGAAGTATACACACTCTTTGCTCGATAGACGGATATATCAGGTCTACCAAGCCAGAGATGACATAATTCATTATAATGAAGGTTTTTGTATTTCCCCATGAATGAAAAACAAAAGGATATTTTTCATTCATATACCCAATGCCCAAAATTTTTCAAACTGTTAAAAGTGAACTTGGTTTGGACATATATAGAGAGAGAGATGACGTAAGTTGGCACATGCAAAACAACAGTGCAGTCTTAGTTTTTTACATTTATTTTTGATTCTTTATCCATAAGCTAAATTTATTAATTAGTGAATGTAACTATTTAGTAGTGTTTACACATTATTTTGATTTAATGCTGTTTTTATTTTCTTCTCTTTTTTTTTCTTTTGACATATTTTAAAACTTAGCTAATGGTTTTATGACATCACCGTCAATACCGAGTATCAAAAGATCGGATGATTTTAAAAATACTACAAAGTCAGGCGATCTTGTTAATTCAGACAGTTATATTTCTGGGAAGTCTGATTCTCGAGTTTACCTTTATAGTGAAAAAGGTATACCTGTAGAAAAAATCACTATTCGTAATGATGGTGGACCTCTTGGCTTAGCTATTTGCGGTGGATCAGATATCAGTTGTCTTCCATTTGGTAGTAAAGAACCAGGTATTTTTATATCCAAGGTAATGATAATAATAATAATAGTAATAATGATTGAAATGTAAAAATTGACGTACATTATGTGTCCTTCTAATAATGATGAACTATTTTATAACATTTTTTTTTCTGTCTTCTTACTGACTCCGTTAAAATAAGACCAGTTATAAATTTATGAACTGAAATACTAAGAATATATATTCAAATCTGATATCTATATCACAGTAACAATTACAATACTATTATAGACTTATTTTGGTCAATGATTAGTAGTAGTGGGATGCACATTTCGTCCTACTTCGAACTCGTCAACCAGATGTGCCAGCTATCCCATGGAGTGATGGTATCTCCACTGATACTTGAACCCTGCATCCATCATCGTTTCAAACGCCGAAATAATCAGCTAACGAGAAATGCAAATTAACTTAAATAGAAATTATCATTAAAATATTGGTTAATACCGACCCACCTACCGAAGCGGAGGTCCGTAAGGAACTCCAATTGTTAAAACGCCATAAGGCTCCCGGCCCAGACAATTTACCCCCTGCTCTTTTTAAAGATGGTGGCGAGACTCTCACAATGGCTCTAACTGGGTTGTTCAGAAAGGTATGGGAAACTGAGAGTGTACCATCAATGTGGAACGAAGCCATTATCGTCCCCATCTTTAAAATGGGTCGACGTAACTCGTGTGACAATCATAGGAGTATCAGTCTGCTACCAGTCGCGTCTAAATTATTGGCTGCTGTCTTGCTTCGCAGACTGTGTAAAATACGTGAAGGATTGATTCGCGAAGAGCGGGCTGGGTTTCGTTCAGGTCGTGGATGCATTGATCATGTGTTCACCCTTCATCAGTTGTTGGAACACCGCCACACGTATTGCAGGTCAACGACCGTTGTGTTTCTTGATATTAGGGCTGCCTTCGATTCGTTGGACACAACTGTGCTCTGGAACTGTCTGTTAGAGAGTTGTACCTGAGAAGTTTGTTATCATCTTGAAAGCCCTATACAGAAACACCTCAGGTAGAGTGAGGGCATACAACCAACTATCATCACTGTTCCCAACCAACAGTGGGGTTAGACAGGGTTGCCCAATCTCTCCATTTCTCTTTAACTTTGCCATCGATGACATTCTGGAGTCAGCTCTGAAGGATGTGCGTGAAGGTGGTGTAGATCTGCTACCTGGAGATAGACTTTTCGACCTCGAGTATGCAAACGATATCGTCTTACTGTGCGAAAGCATGCAGGCTGCCCAAATCGCACTTAATCAGTTGGCGATCAGTGTCTGTAAGTATGGTATGTGCTTTGCACCGTCTAAGTGCAAAGTACTGTTACAAGATTGGCAGGAGCCTGTACCTGCACTCACTCTTGCGAGTGAACCGCTTGAAGTTGTCGATAAGTTTGTGTACCTAGGTAGTTGTGTGAGTGCTGGCGGAGGGGTGACGGATGAGATTTCCAACCGTATAATGAAAGCTAGGGTGGCATACATCAACTTGAGCCACCTCTGGCGCCATTGCGACGTTAGCCTGGCCGTCTAAGGTCGGGTATACAATGCTTCGGTGCGTGCTGTCTTGCTCTACGCCTGTGAAACCTGGCCTCTCCGAGCTGAGGATGTGAGGCGACTCTGCGTGTTCGATCACCGCTGTCTCCGCAGGATTGCTTGCGTTCGATGGCATCATCGCGTGAGTAATTCTGAGGTTCGGCGGCGTGTGTTTGAACACAGTGGAGATCACCATCCATTGAGTGTCGTCATCTGGAAACACCGGCTCCGGTGGCTTGGACATGTGCTACGAATGTCATCCCAGAGGCTTCCGTACAGGTCTCTGTTCGCTAGCCCTGGGACGAGATGGAAAAGGCGGACGGGTGGTCAGTCCATGACGTGGCGTCGTGGGATGAAAGATATTTGTGCTAGATTAGCATCGGTTGGTGCGGCACGACTCCCTCGCTGGGGTCCGCGAGATAGTTAGAATCGGTGGCTCGAAACGTTATCGAACATGGCCAAGAATCGTAATCAATGGCGAACGTGTTGCAATTTTCTTCTTTCTTCCCTTCCTGATGATAGTTAATGAATACTATTTGAACTTGTTAAACATGGCTGTTTCCCTTCCAGATGAAGTTCTTCACACGTTTTCTACTTATATTTTTACTTTTAATCTATGTTGTTTTATTATTATTGTATGGCGCATCTTTCTTGGTTCCATATTGTACCAAGTTTTTCTGCGTTTAAATAAATAAATAAAAAGTGGACAGTCGGTGGTTTAGCGGTCGAATGCTCGCCAACCATGCACCTCGTCCGTAGTTCAATCCCTGTCCGACACACTCCTAAGCCCAGTAAAGTGAGAAGGTTGGGCGTGAGGCTTGCAATCCCACCCCACCGCGTAAAACTAGACCCAATTTTACCGAGAATCCGAGGCTACAACTTGAAATCTTATGTTCTACTCGGGACGGAAAAAAATATTGATATTGGGTGTTGGGGGAGCACGGATTGTTGTAGCCACCAAGCAACTAAATATAGGCATATGTTATATTTTCCAATCTCTTCACTTGAGTGAGTGGATGAATATTATATTTACTAATTTATCGCACTGTATAGCTTACAACGATGAATTCATCTTCAAGAGAGAAATCTTCGTTAAATTCCTTTATAATTGATCAATTAAACTATGAGGATATTAAATGTTAAATTAAAAGTTTATTGTGCGATGAATAATCATATAAATATTTAAAATTATACTGGAAATATTAATGATTTAATTAATTACTATTAGCTTTTATAACAGTGAATCATTGCTCTGTTTATACAAAAATCAAAGTTTCATGTACTCTGTTTTGTTCAGTTGTTATTTATACTTGTTGTTTTTTGTAGTCAAAATTTACCCCATCTCTCTCTCCCCCCCCCCAAAAAAAAAAGCACTGAAGTAGACATGACAGTGGTTTGGATGCTCGCCGACCATGCACATGGTCCGGGGTTCGATCCCCGGCCGACGAACTCCTTTACCTCGCTAAGCCAGAAATAAAGCTGGTAAAGGGGAAAGGTTGGGCATGAGGCTAGCAACCCCATCCTGTAAAAATAAACACTGCTACCGAAACTTCAAGCTTCTAGCTTGAAGCCCTATGATCCACTGGGAACGTGAAGGAAGAAAAAAAAGACATCACTCCGGTGGTTGAATTTCTAGGTTCAGCAGTAGAATGCATGCTATCTATCATATTTTTGTCACCATTGGCGGAGATTAAGGAAGTAACAGAAATTTAGAAAGATTTCACAGTGAGTTGAATAAATTGCTTATAGATTCAGTAAAACAGAGAATCACTCACTGTTATCTTTCAGTATGCTTAGATGATTGTAGGATATTGTCTTTTATAACTGTAGATAATATTGAGACAAGTAACACTTTTAGAGAAATGTAAGCGGTATTCATTCAACTCAGCACATTCATAATTTTAATCCCTCTTGCCTTAAAACACTGTCTCACAATTCATCTCACATTACTACAAGTCTACTGTAATATAAAGGCTCTTTAAAAATTCACCTAACTGTGGTAATATCAATCAACAGTGACCCTGTTAATACTGGGTATCCTGGACACCAGCTTTGCGCTAGTAATATGGAGGCTACGGTTCCCAATCCTGCCACGAATCAGATTTTCATTTCACTTTTAGCCGTCAACCAGTACATCAGTATAGTTGTGTTTTCAGTAGTTTATTCTCGAAGCCTAATTTTCCTCTGTCTCCTTCAACAATAATCCTTATCCAAATTTTTACTCCTTACAATATTGAATTTCACAGATTTCTGCGGATGGTGCTGCTGTTAATACTGGTTTACGCATTGGAGACAGAGTTCTTAAAGTTAATGGAGTGGATCTAAGACATGCTACACACGATGAAGCTGTTCAAGCATTGATACAACCTGCCAAAGAACTTCAACTTGAAGTACGCAGAGACCCACCCCCTCCCGGTTTAAGGGTAAGTTTTGTACGGCAATTTTGTTATATAATTCAAAACTGTGGGAATATTTAAATTACTCAATTCTGTCTTTTATCTCTAGCGTGTTACAGTGACCAAAAAACCTGGAGAACGATATGGATTACGTATTACAGGTGGACTTAACACTAATGATTGTAGTTTGGTCAATTCTTTGGGATCACGTTTCTCATCACTTGCCAATGATGATGGTATATTTGTAACTTGGGTTACACCAGACGGCGCGGTAGCTCGAGATGGCCGACTGAAGCCAGGCGATAGATTACTAGAAATTAACGGGCACTGGTTGATGGGGGTTACTCTAGATGAAGTATTGCAAGTGAGTTATTGTCTATATACATATATTACATAATATTTAATTAAATTCACATACAACACGAGTTTCGAAACTGGTGATTTATTTCTCCATCGTACGCGAAGCATAGTGTGAATGTTCTTTAAATTTATTCTCCGAAGATAATTACTTTATGAGACGCATTAGTAGACACCACAATTAACGGTATTCTGCATGGTGCTTAGACATCACTAAATTCCAGAAATAAAAGATTGATGTTTAAAGTGTCGTTGCATCCATTTTGATAAGTGCACACAATGTAATGTAGCTAACATCTCTGAATTAATGTTAATCGCGTCTTTCTAACATTTTGGTTTATATTTCCAACAGCTTTTCAGAGAAGCTCAATCAACACTGACTTGTGTTGTCTGTGATGGTCCAGTAGATTTCGCACTACAAATTACTAAGACAACTAATTCAAGAAACACGGAAACACCCTATGCTATGCCGGTTTCTATAATACGTTCTGCTATGCCATCAATTCCTGACGCATCTGTTGACGACAGTTCAACATTGCTACCGCAAGTAGAAATAACCAACAGTATCCATAAACTAAGCCTCGTAAGTCGAAACCATATTTGTTTTTCAATCGTTTATTCTTCACGTAATGCGATTATAAACTAATATTTTGTTTTTTTAAACGCTTAAGGAGGCGGATGAATCAAACTGCACTCTGAATGCACACCGCCCTGCACAAAAGTCGGTGTTCCAACCTGCCAGATCAGAAACGAATAAAAACGAAAATATACATCAGGAGTCTATATTTGTAGCCTCTCCCGTACGTGTTTTCCCCATGACTCAAGCGAAGGAGAGAATGAATTAGGTATTCGATGTTAGAAACGTTTCAGTTTAATTGAAAACTGTTTTAAAAACTTCCCTATAAACAGAATCATTTACACCAGGGTATTTTTCCTTTCTTTCAGGAACCGATTACACGATACTAACGGAGCAAATATTCAGTAGACGTTGATTAAATTACAAACAAGCCATTATACTAATTAATTTCAACATAACAATTGATCTCCTGAATAATGGTTTCTCAAAGTTGGTGATTTCGTTTCCTGTAAAGTGTTGTACAGCACCTTAGGACCCTTTTACTTCCTGTTTACTTTAGTTACGTATGAACAGCTATTCATTCCCACATAACCAGCAGCGCAATAAGTTCTGCGCCTATGTACTTTTTTATGTTTGATTTTTAAAAAAAATTGTTTGAAGTTTGTGTAAGTTAGTTCTTTTATTTCAAATTTTTTTTAGAACTAAGCATTTTTGTGCAGAGAAAACGAAGAAAACATCAGTTAAACTCTGATTAGGTCTAAAAAGTGTACAACTGTACAATCGCTTACAAAAAAGTGTGCATTATTAATTTTGATTGAAGGAAACTGTAAGAAAATAGAATATCAATAGCCGATTCATAGAAGTTAAGAAACATTGCAAGATCACGAAATTTAAACAGAGTACAAAATGAAGAATTATTAAGTTAACAAGGCTTAAGATACACAGTATACCAAAACATTCACCATAAGTATAAACATGTTGAGCGTAAAGAATGAGATCCGATAAAGCATATTATCACACGTGGGAAGTAAATAAAAGAAACCTGGGGGGTGTTTATAATACATCATCCACGAAAGACAAATTCGGTAGATGCTTCCGCACCTCAATTGCGTCCATTAGCTCCTGTAGAGACGTTTGCCTGGAAGAAGGAAAAAAGTTTTTTAAAAGGTAATGTTTTCATCTCAACAATCAGTTTCTAGTGGCGTTACAACAGTAGTTAAGTTACATAGTGTAGTTAGACTTGCTGCTTGTATCATGAAAGCTAGTTGATGAGACTGCTAAAAAGTTACATCATTAATACCAGCATTAAGAAGACAAAAATATTAAGCTCAACTTTCTATCTTCTTAACGGGGGATTTTCGCCGATCTGAGTGATAAAAATTAACTGGTCCATAGTATTGGAGGTGACACCTACCCGTATGATACAGTTTTTCATGCATACCAAACAATGAGAATCAGGTTGTTTTGTTACTTACGATTCCGTTAATTTGTGCAACTTATTCGACATATACCTTCCTTGGCTGAGTGACAGGCTAACATTAATGCAAAACCAGGTATGCTAAACAGGTCTTAGCACGTTCCTAATTACACCTGCAATAAAAAACTACGTAGTTCCTCCCACCATTGTGCATGCAACTGTAAAGGATAATCTTTATTTAGAACTTTGATAACTAATCATATCTTCCATCGACCGTTCTAAACTATTTGTATAGCATCTACTTAAACAGGGCACTGCTAGGTGACTAAGCCGAAGTATTAACAACTCAAATATACATCACATTGAAGTAATTATTTAAAGTAGTACAATGATACCAAAAAAACATGATATATAAAGTATTGAGTAGTAGCGGTAGGTTAAAAACTTTAAGACTCACTTTTCTTTGTGTATGGCAAGTTTTGCTTCACTTATCCGAACTAAAGCACGTAACTTTTTTGACTCCGCTGAAAGCTCTCCGTAGAGAACACTTTGGAGCCGATCGAAATTCTTTGACTCAATTTGAGCCTGAAACAAAACAATTTACTTAATGAGTTATCGCATTTAACTAATGAAAGCAGTGAGAGAAATAAAAAACAATGCGAACAAGAAATGTACAGAACAAGTGCCACCAAGAAACAGACAACAAATTTTATTTATGTAAAGCCTACCTCTTGCTCTAAACGTTGCAAGGACTCGTCATGATAATTGGAAATCAGCACAGGGTCAAAAAACGACTTCATTTCTGTGCTATCCAAAGGATCTGACACTTTACTAAAGCCAGAACTGTTTTCAGAGGGTGGAGCTGGTGATAACATAGGTTTATTTGCGACATCAACTGCCGTGTTAATTGAATTATTTGAACGAATTGATGGGGAAGCGGAAATGGGACTCTGTAAATTTGGAGTTTCCCTTTTATCTGTGACATCAGATGCGGCCTCAGTCGTTTTCGCAGAATTGCTAATGTTTGAAAAATTGCATGCGGAAACAGGAGACCCTGACGCATCTAGCCCCGTATTTATTCTACCGAATGGATAGGAATCTGCGGCCAAGCGACTGGTTACGTGTGTTCGTGACCTGTTTTGTAAAGTAGAAATAATGAAAATTAGTACATGGATCAACAAAATTCCAAACGAATGGAGTGGATTACAATGAACTGCTAGACACTTGTGAAACAAACAAATAATCCAGTCGAAATTTATGAGTCAAAGCGATCTTCGATATTAGCTTATTATGCGAATGATACAAATAAAGCAAAAACTAGACGAAGGTAGAATTTTGCGCAGAAATCAATAGAAGTAGAATCATTATGGTTGGGAATTACTAAATTAAGCAGGGTGAAAACGATCAAAAGAAGGGTTCTACTGCAAACAACAGTTCGGGGAACACTGTTCCAACAGGTAACAGGTGTTATCTGATAAGAATCAAGTATTTGTCTTTATATAAGAATTTGAACTTGTGCACTGTGGTAGAGTATAATACTCACTTTACTTTACTTCGGCTATCTCCTACGGGAGGATGAGCCGGCTTCATGAACATCTCGAATAAGAGTTCATGAAGTTTCATGGGAATTTGGTACGAGTGATGTCCCCAGAATCGCTCGGCCTTTTGTTTGAGAGTGCAGCTCTAGCCTTTACACAACCAAGTGTGACCTACAAGGCAGTAGGAGTGGAGTAGGGAGTCCACTATCCATTGGCAGCCGGTGACCGGAGTTCGGTTCATACGCCTTTTTGAATAGGGCCAGACATCCAGGACATCCAACAAGCCCTTTGTCCATACGTCTGCCGGTGAGCTCCAGTGAGCTTCATACGCCAGTCGTTGGAGGTTTGGAATCAGGGTTTAGCCATCTCCCCTAGACTGTCATCCAATGGACAGTCAACCCGGTGAAGAGCGCCGGGCATCCGCTTTCGCCCTCTCACTTTGGTGAAGAACACCTCCGCCACGTGAAGGCAGTGAGTAGGACTTCCTCAGGAGAGGCTATGTAAGACGCCCGGTCATATGGGAGCATTTCAAGAGGTGTGCGGAGGGGTGGCCAACCCGCAGCGCAAGGCATCCACCCCCGACCATCCTGAGGCTTTGGAGGCCAGAGTATAATAACCATTATGGGTAAAATTTATTTTGATAAAGTCTCAAACTGTTGTTATACACTAATATTTCCTGATGACGACGTTTCCAGCACAATGGTATTGCTCATAATCATACCATAAAAGTTGCAGTTGCCAAATTTGACCGATGATTTTGACTTCATTGACTGATGTAACAGAATAGTGATGCCGTGCGTGTACGACACATTTGCCCATTGCAGTATCAGTCACAACTATATAGTGGTCAGTGTAATAAAATAAGCATGATCTCTACAGATTGGGAATGAGATTACATCTCAATTCAAATAAACGAGAAATGATTCTGTAATCACAAATGAATTCTTTTAGAAACTGTATATAAGTAAATGCAATGATCACAGATTAAATAGTACGCTTCTCAACTAATAATCAGCAGTTTTATGGAATAGTTTCGAAATCAGTTGAAAAGGAATCCACATATCCTGTCGAATTAAAATAAAGTTTTCATGATAAGACCAGTATGCTGACAATACATGAAATCAATAGCACGTACGCGAGTAACACCAATCCCATTGACAGATTAATATCACACCAACTAAATTTTAGAAATAACCTAATACCTATATGACATAAGAGTCATTGTGCACCACTGACAAATACGCTGCCTAATACTGATAGCAATGAGAAGTACGTCATCTAACCAACTATAGTACCAAATAATAAGATATCGAAGTTCCGTAGTGAGCCATACTTATTGTAAGATCTCACGTGAGACTATCCAAGTCTGTATCTATTATTTAAATATGATGAAGAACAGTTTAATTCACTTTTATGGATTTATAACACCACAGAAGCAAGTCAAAACCAAGTAGAACCAAACTCTAAATGCATAAATCATATCTCAAATAAACCTCATCGCTTAAGCTAACTTGCATGCATCTTTATAGTAATGTTATACACTAAGCAACTTGAAACACCACACTGATCAAATAAATTTTGTCAAAAAGTACTTAGCAATATCAATTTTTAGAATAACCAGACAGTATTTAAAACGGTAGGAAAGGCTTTCATCTTGCTTTACAGCAAGTGACAGCTACGCGTACAAAGAGAAACACATAATTGGATATATGGAAATAAAACTTACCCGCTTTGCACAGGAAATGAGCTATCTTGATGTGATGTTGACATAGCGCCCCTACTTTCTTGACCTGATAATAAAACATAGCAACACAATAAGTTTAGCAAGGAGCCAAGCTCAACAAAGTTAAAAACCTATATATATATATATATATATATATATATATATATATATATGAGCGATATTGTGTGGAAACTGATGTAACTACTCAGTCAACTAGCGCCATTCTAGCCTAAGATTGACTGCCTAGACCTTGACGTAGTCTAATCGATTGATCGTATCTTCATCCTTCAACAGACACTACATCAGAGGCATACTAACCGGTGTACAATTGTTGAGATGAGGGCAATATTTGAATATGTTAGTTAACGAGGTACAGTGGTAACAACTGACTCTCCGAAGGGATTGATAAGAAAACATTGTATTAAGTGACACTACTCTAGCTCATGCAGCCATATGAGCTTAGAGAAAGTTGTAAGTGGTATTACCCAGAGATGTCCAATGTTATTTGTATAGGTACCCTGCAGGACCAACCAATGTGTCAGGAACTGACTTTTTACCAATAAACAAACAATGGTCCTTCTACTTGATGACAATGGTAAACAATAGGATCTTCTAAACACCTTGAGCATATTTAATGCGTTCCAGCAAATGCGGCATGACGCTGCAGGACTGGTCTGCACCGACTTCCAATGTAACGATAGGGAGTGAAATGATAAAGCATTTTAACCCATACAGTTATTTGGGAAGTTGCGTCAACTGTAACTGACTGCTGACGACATCTCGAAAATGGATACAAAAGGTCTGCGTGTCACTTGTCAAATTGCGCCACCTTTGGAGTAGACATTGTGTCTAGTTATCGACCAAAAGACGTGTGAAGCGATTCGACCACTCCAAATTTACAGTTGGTCGTTGAAGATAGAATATGCGCAGATCAGTGGATTTCGATCAAAGGTGCCTGAGTTCGGAGGAACAATATATTCAGAGATAATAAGATTACACATTAACGTTATTTAAACAAGGGAACTCAACCGATGATGTGGTGAAGCGCCAGATTGCGACTGTTAGGACGTGTGTTAGGTACGCCGAGGGAACAGCTTCAATATTAGAGGAAAGAGAACTTGACTGTTGGTTTGGGCCAAGGGAGGAAGTGTAAACTTCTTGGATGCGGTCTTGGGGAAGTTAAGAATCTACGACTGAGAGCTGATGACGATATGGCTCGAAATCGTCTACTTATTACTTGTTAACATCCAGTACTGAAAATTCCCAATAATTTCCATCTAATTAACCTCACAATTATCTACAAAGTTTTATCTCAAAGTTTATTATTGAAGCACCTAAGAGCAGAACACAACCAGCTACACATGATTACAGAGCCAAGAGGATAACTTGTCGAGATCAGCACAAAACCTCTTCTGAGGTGGTGGAATTTGGTTAATTGTACTGGTACAAAAAGCTACGGT